TTATAGACTTTAGAGTGGGGGTCTCTGTGCTTAGAGGGGAGCAGTCTCTGAGTTTAGCCATTCTGTGCACCTGCTCAGAAAGTGAGTCCTATTGCCCCACCCTGTCTTGGGGCTGCTGCTGCTGAATGCTAGGAATTTAGCTGCTTAGGGAAGGGCCTGGGTGGCAGGTGAGGCTGCTACGGTTTCCTCCACAGTCCACAGGGTGGCCTCTGATCTAACACTGGGCAGGCAGTCTCTTGAGCAGCACTCCAGGGCACCAGTGCCCCCCACATTGGAGCTGGTTTCCATCTATTCTACTCAGTGTCTTTCCCCAAGATTATATGGTAAGATCTTACAGTGGGAAACCCAGGGCAAGAGCCTCAGGGACAGCGGAGGTTACTCTTGATTCTTCTGAGAGTATCAAACTGCTTCTCTTCCCCCAGGACCTAGGTGGGCAGGGGCATCTGCCGACGGCTACAGTGTCATCAGGTGGGTCCTGCATTGCACAGGATACCCCTCCCCCTCCCACAGCTGAATTCACAGAATGACCTCATGGTGACCTCCTAGAGACTGACCCCCTGAACCTCTCCCACGTCCTAGCTCTGCCCCACGAGAGGGACAGTGAGTAACCATTGTCCTGGGGAAGCTGCCTCTGCACCCTGGCTCTGTTCCGCTGGGCTTCCCTCTGGCTCCTCTGGCTCCTCCTCCCCAGAGCTGTTCTAAACGGGAGCGTTGTTGCCCGACAGTCTCCTCTACTCCCTCCCCCGTTCTGCTAACACTTTAAGGCTGTCTATAACCACTGGTCTTAAACCAGGAATTGCCATTTGGCGCACAGAGAGGGTGAAGGAAGACCCCACCCACACTTTGTTTCCTACCCAGAAGTTGCCAGCCTCCAAGGACCAGGAGGAACCGAGAAACACAGGATGCCTGGAACCCACTTCCAACCGGGGCCCTTCGTGGGACGGACTGGGGCCCGGGCTAATGGTTCAAATGCTCTTTGGAAAGCAGTGGGCAGCTTTTCCACTGGACTCTGTGAAGGGGGAGGAGTGCCCCCACTCTATAACAGAACGTCCCCAGATGGGCAGAGCTGGGATCCCCAAGGGGCCTGCTTCCAGCGGTCATCCAACACATTGCTATTCTGGGGACAGCCACCTGCCTGGGGCCATCACAGGAACGCCAGGGGATTCCTAGTATGAGGGTGGCTTGCCTCTTTCCTGTGTGACTGCTTCCAGTTTCGCTTCCCTGGGGATTTAAAGCTAGAATGGTAAAGAGTCCCCAGAGGGGCCTGACTGGAGAAAGCCAAGTGGCTTTGCTTTAGTTTTCTCTTCCCTAAGTTCTTCTAGTTCATTGCTTTGACTCTGGAGCCCAGCTCCCCGGGGGCTGGGGTAGTGACCCCTCTGTCCTGCATGGGGTATCAACAACAACCCGCTAGAAGCTCAAGGTGTGGGCCGGGAGATGGTTGGCTCATAGATGGTGCTGACTTCCTGGACCCGCACAAGTTGTCGCTCTGTGCTTGTCGGAGTCAAAATCTGCTCCTATCAGATACCTGCTCTTGGGGGGTAGACCCACTGGCAGCCACCTCATTTGAATTTAGTTAACTCTTGAAGGACCTTGTCTCCAAACAGTCATTTTCTCAGGTTCTGAGGGTCAGGGCTTCAAGAGACAGACCTGGAATGGGGCACAGTTTGGTCTGTAACTGCCTGAGAAGGGAGGAAGCCTATGCAGAGCCCGACCTTGGGTTCCAGGTGAACACAAACTAGGAGCCCAGGCTCTGCCAGGAGGTGTTGCTGGTGCCACTCCAAGTGAGAGATCGGCTCGGGGTGTGGTGTGCTAACTTTCTTCCCCCTGGACAGACCCTAATCCGTGAGGCCCCCTGCTTCAGAATCAGAGGTTTGGAGAGCCGAGGCGGCACCCAGTCTTGTCAGCCCGGCCCACATGAGACTCTGTCTCAAAAAAACTTAAGCCATGGAGGTAACTTTAATAATACCATGAACTGTGGGGCAGAGGCAGCTGAAGAGATGGTTCCGCAGTAAAGAGCACTTGCTGCTCTTGCAGAGGACCTGGGTTTGGTTCCCAGCACCCACACAGCTGCTCACAACCGCCTGAAACTCCCATTGTGGGGGTTATGACGCTCTCTTCTGGCCTCCGTGTGATATGCATACATACATGCAGGCAAAACACGCTCACATCCATGAGATAAATAGATCTTTAAAACATAAAGAGTAAAAGTGTCACTAGCCCCAAATTGAAGCAGACACAGTGCCCTGTGGGGGCAGACAGGAAGCTGGGTGTCCTGCGGGGAGGCCACGAGAAGAATGGGGGCAGAAGGAACAAGGAAGCATTTGAGCAACCTGGGAGCACCGTGCTTCATCTGGCCAAGAAGTCCTTTAGTCATGGTCTGGTGAACTTACAGTCTGTGTCTGTTTTCTGTTTCTTCAGAGAGAGTCTTACTCTGAAGTCCAAGCTGGCTTCAGACTCCCGGCAATCCCCCTGCTTCAGCTTCCCTAGTGCTGGGGTTACAGGGCCTAGCTTTCACTTTCGTCTTAGATGCTACAGAAAATGAAAGTTATGAGCTCGATTTTTGTGACGGGATCACTCTTAATTCCTGAGCATGACTGGTCGGGCAGAGTGGGGCTCCCCAGAAGCATCCCTGGAGATTCCATCAGCTGTATGGGCTTGACGCATACTTGGTATAAAAACATGAATATGTGTTTTTGCTTGTAGATCTTTTAAAATTACATTTATTTATTTTTGAGGGGCGGGCATGAATGTGCCATGGCACACATGTGGAGGTCAGAAGGCAACTTATGGAAGTTGGTCTGTCCTTCCGGCACGTGGGTCCCAGGGATGGAACTCAGGTCATCAGGTTTAGTACTTTTACCCACTAAGCTGTCCCAGCAGCCCCAAGAACTGTATATTTTCGTATCGCGTACAGGCTGCTGTCGTGATTATCCTCTGAGCCTACTTCTCCCAGCCGGGCCTGCTGATCATTAAAATTCCCTCATGAGGAGGTTGAGAGGTCACAACCGCTTCCTGCCACCTGTTGTTTGTCCCTCTGCCTTACTTGCGTGTGTCCTTGGGGAAAGGATGGAGCACATAGGAAGACTAAGGGGTGGGGGCCTCCATCTATGTGACCCATGGGGAAGTCCTCATCTCTGCTGGCTAAAGGAACGGTTTTCTGATACGGCCTTTTAGGAAGGAGCTTCCACACCCTTATAAGTCACCCCCCGCCTATGAGCTGTAAGGAACCCCCAATAAATTCATTGGTTCTCCAGAGGGAACTTCGGCAGAAATGTGTCTCAGTTTGGGACCTTAGGGGAAGGAGTAGACATTGCTTATGTACCCTCGTGCCAAGGAATTTTAGCTAGAGCTGTGTGCTTCCCATCCTTCTGTCAGTGACAGGTATGATAAATGTATGTATGTATGTGTGTGTGTATGTTTGTATGTGTGCATGTATATATGCATGTGTATGTATGTACGTATGTGTATGTGTGTGTATGTGTATGTATGTATGTATTGTGTGTATGTATGTATGTGTGTGTATGTACGTATGTGTGTATGTATTATACACACGCCACACATCCACCTGCTTTATTCTGATGAACACTGAAACATTACAGCAGATGAGGTCTCACCTCGGAGCCCAGGCCTCCCGAGCGTCTACCTTCCCTGTGCTGGGATTACAGGCATGTACGGCCAAGCCTGCCTCTAACCACAGTCTTCCCGGCAGCTGGCACGTGTGGCTGCCTGGGCTTGTGGGAGCCGCACGGATGCTCATCTGGCTTTCCTCGGGTGCCATCATCACCCCCACCCTGTGGAGATGCTGGCGTGCCGAAGCTGAGCAGCTTGCCCAAGTGGCCACAGAGTGGTAGTTTGGACCCAGCCCATTGCATCAAAGGCGGAGCACTCAACCCCTGTGTCACCTCCACAAGAGGCGTCCCTTTGATAAGGTGTCTTGGAAGGAGACTGGGCAGGGATTCTTGGAAAGGAGACTTGGGGCTTGGACCTAATTCCAGTTGTGTTGTGGTGGGGGTGTTCTCCAAATGGCGGAGCCTGGTAGGGTCCCCAGCGGTGCACCACCTGACCAGATGTTCTAGACGGTCACTTTGACCCTTGCCAGGCTACACTTGCTCCGCGTGAGAAAGGAGGCCTCAGAGCCAAGGGGATTTGCCTACACATAACCCACGATTCTAGACCCTGGATTCTCCCAATTCCTGAAACCCAAGGCAGGTTGCCAGGGGACTGACGGAGGGTATGAATGTTGAAGCCTAGACTCGCAGGCTGAAGTTGGCGTACTGGACCACACCCCGGTGGGTGCAGGGAGAGGAGCCAGCTGGGGCGTGTAAGAGTTGGATCTGTCTGGCCACACCCCTCTCTGAGGAGCACTGGACCTTTATTTTTTAATTATTTTATTTTTCTATACAAGGATTTGCCTGCATTGGTATCTAGGTCTAAGTACTCACAACCTCAGTCAGTCCCCTGGCAACCTAGGAGAGCTTGGGGTACAGAAGTTGGGAGTGGATTCTCTGGGCCTGGATGGGAGATCATAGGCCATGGGCAGGCAAGTGCCCTTGGCCCCAGATGGTTGTGAGGTACCAAACCCGCGTCTTTTGCAGGTTGTGTCATTTAGGAGATTGTTTTGAGAGTGTCTCAGTCTGTAGCACAGGCTAGCATTTTACTGTGTAGTCCAGGTTAGCCTGAAACTTACTGTGATCTATCTGCTTCCACCTCCCAAGCACTGAGGTTATAGGCATATGCCACTGTGCCCGGTTTCTGCGGCGCGAGAGATTGAACCCAGGGCTTCATCCATACTACACAATCAATCACTCTTCTGACCAAGCCACAGAGTCCTGAAATTCTAAATCAGAACAGGCTCCCCCTTGCCCTTCCTGCCCCCCCCCTTGATTTACAGGAACACTGTAACACTATCTGAGCTGGTTTGGGGAGCACTGTTCTCTGCAGGGATAACACTGCAGGGCTAGGGGCTAACCTTGGCACCCCTCTTTTCGTGTATTCTTCAGCTGGGGTGTCCCGCTGGCCATCACAGTGGCCGCTGTCTCTCTGAAGAAGATAGGCTACGATGCCTCCGACGTGTCCGTGGGCTGGTGCTGGGTGAACCTGGAGGCTGAGGACCGTGTCATGTGGATGCTCCTGACTGGGAAGCTGTGGGAGATGCTGGCTTATGTCTTATTGCCTCTACTGTACCTTCTGGTCAGAAAACACATCAACAGAGCGGTAGGTGTCTGATGTGCTGGCCCTTCGGGGACAGACTAATTCTCTAAGGGACTAAACTAGTGCCAGGCCATAGGAACCCTGTGCTTGGACTGAATCGTGAATAGGCTTGTTGGCTAGTCCTGGTATAGGTAGGTGAGACCGAAGTAGCTGGACCACAGAATTGCGTTGTCAACCGCGGTCCTGCACTGCCACCGTGTGGCCAGCCCAGTATTACACTAAGGAGTTCAAAGTCAAGAATGGTGGCCACAGATAACTTCACCTACCCTTGGTGGTCAAAATTGTGTCCCAAGTGTCAGCCTTTTCAGGAGATCATAAGTCAGTAGGGCTGTCCAGAAAGGGAGAGTGGTCCTCAGAGAGGATCTTGAAGCCTAAGCGATCAAGGTCAAAGATAAACTGATGGTGGCAGAAGCAGTCATAGTTTGCCCTGAATTTGGAACTCACTATACTGTCAAGAATGACCTTAAGTTTCTGTTCATCCTCCTGTCTCCACCCCTTGGGTACTAGGATTGCAGGTGTGCACCACCACGCCAGTTTCTGCAGTGCTGGGAATTGAAGCCAGGGCTTCCTACGTGATGTGAACGGTCTATCAAATGTATTGTATCCCTTTGCCCAGACTGGCCTGAGACTTTGTAACTGAGGACAGCTGTTAACTTCTGATCCTCCTGCCTCTGCTTCTCACCGAGTGAAACTATAAGCATGCCTGGCTCATATTTTCCCCCAAGTCTTACTGGGATGTCTTGTTTTGTGTTACTAGAGACTGAACTCAGGACCTCTGCTTGCTTAAATACTCTTATCCCTCAGCCACACCCATAGTCATGGGTTCTTCTGACTTAGCAGTTCGTTTCCTTTGTACTTTCTCTCTCTCTCTTTCCTTTCTTTTCTTTTCTTTCCAAGTGGAAAAAGGCCACAGTGCCCCCTCTCTTGCCTCCCCGGGCTGGTGGGTTGTGTGGACGTGTGGAAGTGTGTGGGTGGTTGCGGGCAGAGGCCCGCCTGGCTCAGGTCTTTGCTCCCTGTCCTTCACACAGCACCAGGCCCTCTCCGAGTACCGGCCCATCTGTGAGGCACGCCAGCTGCAGCGAGGCTCCTCCACCTCCATGGCTGATAAGAAACTGATCCTGATTCCGCTCATATTCATTTGTCTCCGGGTCTGGAGCACCGTGCGTTTCGTCCTGACCCTCTGCGGCTCCCCAGCTGTCAAGTCTCCTGTGCTGGTTGTTTTGCACGTATGTCTGTCCCCGTGGGCCCTGCTACCCCACAGTGGCATGGCCAGATCCCTTCCCTACAGACTGATACATCTAAGGTCCCAGGATGGGCCTATGGGAAGCGGGAAAGCTCAGTGTCCTTTCCCTGTCCCCAAACGAGCGTGGCTTTGCAGTTAGGGGTGGGGAGAAAGCTGTGTGGTTGTTCTGAGCAACCTAGAGAAGCCATTGTAGAGTTAACCGATCCCGGATCCTTCTCACTGCAGAAGGCCTAAATGCATGTCTGGCTAGGTGGCCAGCCACTTCTGGCCTGTCCAGAACTCTGCTTAAGGCCATGTATCTGAGCTCACCCCGGCACAACGTAGAGGCTGGGACTGGAAGGGTCATAGGATTCGTAGCAGCCCACTGAGTCCCGGCGACTGTATTTCTGGGATACTCCCAGCCCTGTGTTTATGCCTCTCCCCTTCCTTCCACCAGGGCATTGGGAACACTTTCCAGGGAGGGGCCAACTGCATCATGTTCGCCCTCTGCACCCGCGCAGTCCGCACAAGGCTCTTGTCTCTCTTCTGTTGCCGCTGCTGTCCTCAGCCCTCGACCCAGAACCCTCTTGGGGCTCCTGCTCCCCCCAAGATGAGAGAATCTCAGGAATCCAGACGGACTCCGGAAGTTCCCAGCACCTGATTGGTGGACTTCTCTCCTTGTTCTCACCGGTGCTGCCTTCCTGGTTCCTGCTGCTGCCCCGCCAGATACAGGGTCGCGCACCGGAAGCCTTGACCAGGGAAGCTCCGCCCCGCGAAAGAATGGCGTCAGGGCAGCCTCTTCTACCTCCTCGCCTCTCAGGGCTGCTGTGCGTTCTCTGCACACCCGTGTCCTGGTTCAGTGGGGTTTGTTTGTATAAGCCCAAAGATGGGGGATGCAGGGAAGCCAGCAATGCAGGATCCCGCCAGGGCACCGGTTCTCAGTGTCCTGAAGCCACCAGCACTGTTTACAGTTTGAGGGACCCATACCTATGGACCCCTTGGAGAGATGCACCCCGACCCAGACATCACAGTATGGGATCCAGGTTTGCCACGGTGTTGAGATTCGCAGAGAACCTGGAGAAGTTAGAGCTCAACAGCAGAGCCATTTCCCTTAAACCAGGTCCCAAGTCCGCTACGTCATTGACCCAAACCACCCAGGCACACAGTCATGGGCATCTCACGGATTCTCTGCTTGGCTCATCAACCCTCAATATTTATTGCATTTGAATTTCAGCACAGGCCAGAGTCCAGAGTCCTGCCCATGAGTCAATCACACAACACTCAGGTCCTTTCTGGGACCAAGACAGAAGGCAGCTCAGCTCCAGTCCCTAAGGACGACATACGGTTTCTACCTGCTGTTTTCATGAAACTTTTGTTCTCAGTGATTATTACAGGGGTGAGTCAGGAGGGTGTCTGGCTTGGCGCCTTGTTTAGTTAGTTTTGGTTTGCTTGTTTGGTTGTTTTGTTCTGTGGTCAGGGGGTTGGTGAATGGTCCAAACACTGACTCCTCCCACTGTGCTTCCATGTTGGTCCCTGTACCAAAAATATTTAAAAAGCTTTTTTTCTTGGTAGTTATTTATGGGATATAGAAAGAGGATTCTGAGGTGATTACATTTTGTTTAATTTATTTGAGATAGGGTCTTATTATATAGCCCTGGCTGGTCTGGAACTTGCTGTCTAGACCAAGCTGGCCTCGAACTCACAGAGGTCCACTTGCCTCTGCCTCCCGATAATTACATTTTTTAAAAAAGGTTTTGTTTGTTTTGTTTTGTGCTTCCTGTACTAGGGTTCTGCCACTGGGTTCTACCCCAAGCCTTCCTTTTGTTCCTTTTGTTTTGAGCAGAGTCTCACTAAGTTGCCTCGACTGGCCTTGAACTCTCTGTCAGCCAGGCTAGACTTGAACTTGCGTGTTTTCCCTACCTCAACCTCCCAGAAAGCTAGTACTAAAGCCTCGGGGCAGCGTGCCCAACCAAAGAAGGGAGTAAGAGAGCTGTGTTTCCGCCTCCACTCAGCGGCTCTTCTAGCAAGCCTTCCCTCATTTCAGAGAGCTAGGTACTCCGCGTCTCAGGCCCGCCACCTTGCAGGCAAGTCGAGGAAATGTTCTACTATGCCTGTAGACAGTGCCCTTGGATTCTGTCCGTACCCCACAAAGCAGAGCGGATTCACAGAGCCTGGTAAAGGGGCTGAGGCTGAGGAGGACAGAGCCACACTGGGCCGTTGATTCCCATTTTGTTCTCAAACAACATCTCTCTCAGAAAAGGACTCGTCAGAGGACAGTGTCCACATGCTCCTTTTCTGGTTTCCTTGGGAAGTGTTTCTTTAGGAAAATCTACACGAGGTGGGTTCCCTCATGGGCATCAAAGAAAGCTCCTCAGCGGGGGGCTGTCTGTTTACAGACACAGCCTATGTCAGGCACAGGGCCTGCTGAGGTCCTGGGAAGACATTACAGCCGATTGTGCGCTGTCAGCATGCTGCCAGTCATGGTCTCCTGGCTTCTAAAATGGAGCGGAAATTCTAGAAACTGTTTCCTGCAGAGGAGAAAATGATCTACAGAATACCAGAGAGGAAATGATGTGGGAACAAACCCAGCTGGGCAGGGCTTTGGGGAGCCCTGGCTGTTGGAGATCCAGGAGCCGGGGGCTCACTCGAGCTCTCTCTGATGACTGATGCCATCGGCCAGGATTGCTGTCTGTAAGTCCCTCCGCAAAATAAACACTTTGGCTCTTTCCACCTGTTTCCCACGCTGCCCTGCTGCTGCAGGGGAATGGCGGCGACCCCAGGCTGGGTGCCTTGCCTCTAGCCCTGTGAGCGCACAGGCTGATCTCAACCTTAGCTCTTCTCAGAGCTGGTGACCAAGTGGTTTCAGAACTGAAGACAAAAGGAAGGTGAGCCTTCAGTGAGCCCCAGGAGGAGGCCCTAGAGGCTGCCAGCTCCCATTACGCCTTGTTCAGCCTGGTGGCTTTTTATCCTGGTGGCTTTTTATCTCTTAGTTGGCGATACTCGTATTTATCTCCCCATGCCCCTTGGTCACTGAAATGTGACCTCAGCCTTAATGGGAGCTACAGCCTTTGCTCCCCCATCTTCAGCACTTTGTGGTTCTTGTTCTCCCAATCAGTTGTCAGCTGTTTCCTGCCTCTGTCCGTCTGGACATACACACAGAGACACACAGACACACATTAGTTTTGGAGACACCAGGGGATTAAACCTTAGCCCTTGTGCAAACTAGACAAGTGTTTAGCATTTAGCTATTCCCTCGGTCCTTTTATTTTCTGTATTTTGAAGCAAGGGATTCTCACTAGTTGTCCAGGCAGGCCTTGAACTTGAGAGCCTCCGAGATTCTTCTGTCTCAGTTTCACGGTTTCTGGAATTACAGACCCGTGCCTTGGTTTCCCGGCTGCCCAGACCAGAATAATCACACAGAAAAGCCAGGAAATGAATGAGCAGTCTCTGTTTACACAGGCCTCTGCCACCAAACTCAGCCAACTTTCGGAAGCCTCGGTTCGTTCTTTCTGTCTCTCTCTTAAAAGAATAAAGGAAACCCTTCATTTGTCTTCGCTCTGTTTTTTTATGTGTGTGAATGTTCTTGTGTGTGTAAGCGCACCATAGGTGTGCGGCACCCTTGGAGGCCAGAAGGGAGTCTGAGCCCCAGAACCTGGGGTTACAGGTGGTTGTGGGCAGCAGATAAAGGGAACTAAACCTGAGTCCTGCACAAGAACAGGAAATGCTCTTAGCTGCTGAGCCACCTCCCCAGCACCCTCTTCTTTTGTTTTTAGAACTCAAAGTTGTGGCATAATGAAGCCTAGCGTGAGATTTTTTTGGAAGTGTGATTTTTTTTTGGCTGGGTGAAAGTCCAAAAACTCTTTGCTGCTTTAAATTAGATGAATCATTTTCTCCTGTGTATTTGCTAAACTAATTAGCACTGAATTGGGGAAGGGTAGATGGCAGCTGAGGCCTGGAGAACCCTTGCTTTTAAGGTCTGTAGCCACGGGTCACATGCCTGGGCTTCGCAGATACACTTGAGAAGGTGTAGGTACCTGTTTTTCTTGGCTGCAGACACCTACCCTCTTGTCTAGCTTCTGTCCTTAAGTCCTGGGCAAGCTGCACTCTGTAATTCTGGATCATACACCCTCCTCTTCCATCCATCAGAACCTTCTACCTTTGGTAGTTAGTTCTCATACACACTGTTTTCTACCTTATCTGACCCTCCACGACCCTCTCTGACCCTCCATGACCCTCCCTGGCTCTCTGTGGCCCTCTATGACCCTCCATGGCCCTCCCTGACCCTCCACGACCCTCTCTGACCCTCCATGACCCTCCACGGCCCTCCCTGGCCCTCCACTCTTCACTGACTGCCGTGCCTCTCTCCCTTTCCGTCCATTCCTCCCACCTGACCTGACTGCCAGCCTCGCTCTGATGCTACCTCTGTCTTCTTTTCCTGCTCAGTCCTCTGAAGCACCCAATTCCATCTAGACCATAAGTCCAAACCTCAGCTTCTCATTGCTGGGATCACAGGCCTTGCACATCAGTGCTGTGATTTACTGGGGTTCGTTTATGTAGGCACAAAGAGGTGGGCTTCAGGGAAACCAGACATATAGGAGCCATGAATCCAGTCCCTGGCTGTGGGAAACCAGTCATGCAGGAGCAATGCATGCATCCAGCCCCTGGTTGAGGGAAGCCAGTCATGCAGGGTCCACGCATCCAGCCCCTGGCTGTGGGAAGTCAGCTGTGCAGGGTCCGTGATTCAGCCCCTGGCTGTGGGAAGACAGCTGTGCAGGATCCATGCATCCAGCCCCTGGCTGTGGCATTCCAGGATTCCTTTACCTGGTACTTTTCCCTGTCTCCCAAGCTCTCTCCAACCTTCTCCCTGCAGGAAATGCAGCTTACTGCTCCTCTGTGCTCCACACCGTCCCTATGCTTGGTGGCCTCTTTCTGCCCTTATCCAATGGACACCTAACAGGGTGACCTCTTGTTCTCAGATTTCCCAGCAGACCTCTAAATACTACCTGCTTAAGCCCAGTGCCTGGGTGGTAGAAGCAAGCAGATCTCTGGGAGTTCAAGACCAGCCTTGTCTACATAGAGAGTTGTAGGCAAGCCATGGCTACATAGTGTCTCCAGAAAACAACAAAAAGCAACATAGGAAAAGGGTTTATTTTAACTGACAATTCAGGTTACAGATAGTCTATCATTTCAGGAGGCTCACAGCTGCAGAAACTCAAAGCAGCTGCTTATAGCACAACCACAGAGTAGCCGAGAGCAATGCTTGCAAGCGTGCTTAATAATCTTAGACAGACTAGGGTGCTGCTCGCTTTCAGGTTAGGGCTCCTATGTCTTTTAAGGCAAGCAAGATAATTCCCCGTAGACATGCTGTCTCAGTGGGCAAATCACTCAGTGCTTGCTGAGTGACTATGAGGACCAGAGTTCAAGTTCCAGCACCCACTGAAAAAGCAAAGCATATTGGTGTGTGTTGATAATCCCAGCACTAGTGAGGCACACACATGCACATGAGCACCCACGTTTACACACACGCTCCTATACACACACACACAAAGAAGCAAGTGAGGGCTGGCAGTGTGGCTTGAGCAGGGTATTTTCCTTGAGTGCATGTTTGCAGGGCCCAGGCCACTGAAAAAGAAAAGAGAAAAGAGGTTTGTGAGCCTCCAGCTCTGGAGAGAGACCACATTCCAATCAGTCTCCCTCCTGCTAATATTAGATCACTGTGTATCAGTGCTGGCCTCCCAAGCTCAGATGTTGTAACTAGGTAACAGTGAGACCAAACTAATCCCAGGACATCACTCAAAGACACCTGGAGAAAGTCTGTGACCCAAGATGTCACCTGGCTGTTACTCAGCCTGTCTTGGGCAATTGAAGTCATCCTGAAGATTCCAGTTCCTGCCACACCCTGCACAGAAGACATCACAGTTGAGAGCCCAGGAACAGCTGCGGGCATCAGTGGTGACCCCAAAGAGACAATTTTTTTCTTCTCCTGGAACAAGGTGTTGTCATTTATAAAGACATGACAGACTGGAGGCCGGTGCCAAGAGGGGAAGCAGTGGGTCACCCGAGGTCTCCCAGGGTCCCCTTGGTGGGTGGGAGACTTCAGCAGGTGAGAGACAGGTGTGCCATGCAGAGAGAGTCTGGGTATAGAGTTTACTTAGTGGGTTATGGAGGGGAAAGGGAAGGGGCGAAGGGAAAGGGGAGAAAAGGAGGGAGAAGGGAGAGAGGCAAAAGCTGCCTCTCCAAAACAAAGAGAGAGAGAGAGAGAGAGAGAGAGAGAGAGAGTCCACTTGCCAGAATGGGGGAGGTTGGGAGTGGGTGGAACTTGTCTCTTAAAGGGTCAGGGTACCCAGGTGACAGACCAGGCCAGCAGATTATAACACAAGGTCTCACTCTGTAGCTTTAACTGTCTTGAAACTCGCTCTGTAGACCAGGCTGACCTCAAACTCGCAGAGATCTGCCTGCCTCCCGAGTGCTGGGTTTAAAGGTTGGTATCACCACACCTGGCTAATTAAAATATTTTATTTACGTATCTGTGTTTTGCCTGCTTGTATGACCATGTGCACACCGGGCACTCTTGGAGGTCAGAAGAGGGGTCAGATTCCTGGAATTGGAGTTACAGGAAGTTGTGAGCCACCGTGTGGGTGCTCAGAACCGAGCCTGGGTCCCCTGGAAGAACAACCAGAGCTCTAACATCTGAGCCATCTTCCCAAGCTCCAACAAAGGCTTCTTTTTACATTTTAATTATTTATTTGTATGTGTATGGTATTTTGCCCACATGTGTGTCTGTCTGTGCACCATTGTACACCTCTGCCAAGGAGACCAGAATAAGGTATTGGATCCCCAGAGTCTGGAGCTAAAGAGAGTTGTGAGCTGCCATGTGGGTACTGGGAATTGAACCTGGGTCCTCTGGAAGAGCAGTCAGTGCTTTTAACCACTGAGCCCTCTCTCCAGCCTAATACTTACTGTTGTTGGTGCCTCTTTTATGCAAGAATTCCCGGCAATTTCTTATACCCATGCTGCCAGAGGAGGAGGCAGGCCCTCCCACTCTCTGGTCCTCTCTATCACTTTTCTTCCTGGCAGACAGCAGAGCCATGAGCTTGCCTGAGCACATTGTGTCAGGGTATAGTCACCAAAGTTAAAAGATTCCAAGGTTTGCTAGAACAAGCTGACAAAGGCAAATTTGTTACAGAATATACAAACTTACTACATCAGAAAGGCAATCCGTGAAATTACCCACTAGGCCAGCATAATTCAGAACTTGTGGATTTCTGTTTGTGTAGAGGAGAAGGGGAATGTAGACAAATTTCAGGAGTGAAACTGGTTGTGGGGGGATAGTGACCCCGGAGGCAGGAGTTAGCTTGTAAACATTGTATTTGTGGCACATCTAGGACTGGTGTTGTGGATGGACTCCAGGGCCTCTGGTGCTGGGCGAGTGCTCTCTGAGCCACACCCCAGACACCGGCTACTTTGTTCCGTTTGCTGAGGTTTTGTTTTGGTAATTCAGCAGACCACAGACCTTAGCACAACGGTTTCCATGATAGAACTACTATTCAGGATATAATGGCACACAGACAGCACTACTTGCCACAATGAGAACAAAAAGCTAATCCATCAAAGTCCATAGTTCTGCGAAGTCTCTAAATGTAGTTTGCTTTTTGGCTTCTGCAGTCTGGCTAACTGCTCTTGTTCACTGAAGTGTGTCAACCCACAACATGGTTTTTGTACTTAAAAGCTCACGCTGAGAAAGACTCAGTGCTCCATGAGGATCCGGAACACCAGTGTAATCGAGAACTGGCTAATAAAGGCTTTATCGGCTTACACCTGTGCCCAAGTAGCCGACTGGGGTGGATACCTCCCACGGTAGCTGTCCTGATTAGTTACTTTGTTTCGTTTGTTTGTTTTACCAACTTGACACAGGCTAGTGCCATTTTGGAAGAGGGAACCTGAACTGAGGAAACGCCTCCATCAGATCTGCTGTTAGGCAAGCCCTGCAGTATTTTCTTGATTAATGATTGATATGGGAGGGTCCAGCTCAAGTGTAGGCGGTGCCAACCCCCAGTGGGCGGTCCTGGGTTTAGGAAAGCCAAGGGAGCAGCTAAGTGGTCTCTTTAGCTCCTGATGCCCCGGGTTCCTGCCTTGAGTCTCCGCCCTGGTGTCCCACCAAGATGGACTGTAAGCTGAGACGTGTAATAGACCTTTCCTCCCCAAAACGCTTCTGGTCAGTGTTTGTCAAGCAAACTAAGACACGGTTATTGAGACAGGCTCTCATGTAGCCCGGGCTGGCCTCAAACTCACTATATAGCTAAGGATGGCCTTGAACTCTTGCTCCCTCTGCCTCTGCTTCCCCAGAGCTAAGATTACAGGTGTGCACCACTATCCCCAGATGACTTTTTTTTTTTCATTGTGTTGTCTGGACTTTAATCAAGTTTCAGAATCAAGTATCCTCCTGCCTCTGTGGCTGGGATTGCAGGCATGTATATACCACTGCCCCCCAGCCTCTGGCAGCCTTCCTTTGTGTGGACCACGACAGCAGAGGTACAAGGCGGTCATGTTT